TGTTCTGTAGTCCTTTCTATCGAATGTATTCCTGAATGTGTTTAAATTGTCTTTAGATATCTTGGATTACATGTTCTCGTTGCCGATTGTTTTCTCCTGGGTGTATCATTTTCTTTGTAAATGTATCATCCAGCAGAAAGAACACTCTGGCATAAACAAGAAAACTTGGATAATGCAGGCATTACGGACATAGATTCAAAACACAAGGATCCACTGATGTGCAGCCTGTATGCCCCTGATATATATAGGAATTTACACGCAACAGAGGTTTGTAAGGCTGTATACTTACTATATGTTCTTTCTATCTCTCGTAGTTCTAATGCCTAAATTTATCCACTCAGCACTCAGCACCCAGCACCTTGCTACATGATAATCTCAAAAGCATTGGAAGCTTTTGCTTTTTGTCAGTTCCATCCATGTCATGTTATCAAATTCACTTCAGTATGGATTATTTCCACACTGTGGATTCCTTTGCAAATTTAAATTTTATTATCACATTGAGATGAGTTCAAAACCTTAATCGTTTCTCTAGAACAATCGAATGAACTTATGTTTTCTACAGAAATGCCTTTCGTTTCATGTTTAACTCAGGTGAATTTTCTTCTCTCTTAGCTTGACAGGAGGCCTTCTGGCGATTATATGGAGAAGCTGCAGCGAGACATCAACCCGGGCATGCGGGGAATACTGATTGATTGGCTTGTGGAGGTTAGTGCGTACAGAGTCAGATTTGGACGCATGAGACTATACTGTACATTCCTTGTTGAAATACAAAGATACCTCAGAACTGTTTGGAATTCATGTTTCTCTTTTCTAGGACATTAAGTAAATAGTATTAATAGTCTTCATTACTTCAAAATGCAACTTTTTCCTCATGTTCTCAAGAAATCATCCTTTTTTTTGTTTTTTTTCCCTCACTTGTAAATATATAGAAAATCAAGTAGGCGTTGCACTCTCCAATTCTACCTTTTTGACCTCGTTTGAGCACTGCACTGTTGTCTTCAGTTTTTATTATAAAATCAAAATTTCAAACACGTGACATCCAAGAATCTTAATCTTTTAAGAAGAGCTGGATATCTTGGTTACCTAGTGTTGGAAAAAATGGTTTAATGGGTCAACTTTGAGCCCAAATTTCAGTGGGACCCACCTTTTAAATAATGCGGGACCTAGCATATTCACGTTCTACTCCGCGAGATGATTAACGTGATATATTTATTTATCGAAAACCATTTAAAATTGAATGAAATATTAAGCGTTAAAGTAACCCACATAAACTAAGGATTATGGAAGAATTTGATTTTTCAAACACTTATCCCACATAGGAAAGTTAGGAAACTTTGGTGTGGTTTATAAGGTGGAAGTTTGGAATTGGGTTTGGACCCCAAGGGGTACCAATAGTCTTTGGAAGGGGGAAGACCTATATCCCATTGGGTTTGGTCATAAACCCACACGCGCGCGCCGCCGCCGCCGTCCGTCCGACCGGCCGTACACTATATTAACTTTTTGGACAAAATTTATTTAAAATTTTGGGCCAAATTGTAAATAATCAAATTCTTGGGTAAATTTTGGCTTATTCCGGGTGTTTTATTTTCTTGTAACAGTCGACTGTTTCGACTGTTTACCGACCAAACAGTCGACTGTT